GCCGCTATAACGATCATGTTACACGATGCTAAATTGCCAACCACAGAATCATCTTTAATAATTAACAAAGAACTGCAAGCGTGGCATTTCAAACTTATCAATGCTATTATGCAGAAGGGTGCTAAGATTATTCATATGGCCATAGTCTAGGAAGTTCCCTTTTAAGGTACATATCTTCATACTAAACTTTTTTATGCTATGGTAGCTACGGGTGATGCTTATCTACCATTGTAGTGCACACCAACTTTATGGCCTTTTTCCAGTTAAATCACAGAAGTTAAAATCTCTCAGAGTTATATTTGATTACAAAGGAGCGTACTTCTTTTAGTTTTTCAGGTTTTTAAATCTTTCTGTCGTCAAAGAAGACTGGAAGATGAATTTGCTTTTTATCGTGGTTCTTAATATCCTGGCTGTGGGTTATGCTACGCCGGACCATGAAGAAGGATTGGAAGTTGAGGATCCTGCAATCCGAGGATGGCGTAAAGGTGATCACACAAAAGGGGTCCAAAGGCTACTCCTACAAGGAAACTTTGAAGTTTAAGCGTTCTGAAATTGAAAGAAATGCAACTAAAACTAATATTCGTTGGTAGATAGTTACAACTAACAGTGACGCAAAAATTTTTAGCTGGTCTTTAGCTCAAAATTTGGCATCTCGGCCCAACATCACAGTTCTTTGGCGACACTTAGCTGGAGTTTTTAACGATCTTGATGAAATGAGCCAATTGACCAGGAAAAGAAAAAAAATGGACAAGAGACAGTTTTATGAAAATGTAATCACAGAAGTTTGCCAAAATGTGTCAGAATAATAAATGAGGGTCTCAATGGTGTTAACGGTCAGACGTCAAACGGCCTAAAATTTTTCTGTCAACCGTCAGAAAAGGTTAATTTTTTACCTTCAACCGTCAAAAATGCAGAGTAAAACAAACCGTCCAAACGTTTCAAGGTACCGTAAAATTCCGAAAATAAGCCCCTCCATGTATAAGCCCCTCCAAATATAAGCCCCCCAAACCGGTAACGCAAAAACCCTCCGTTAAATCGCCCCTCCAAATATAAGCCCCCCGGGGGGCTTGTACTTGGAAAATTGCCCTCAAATACAAAGTAAAACAAAGCAAAACGATAAATTTACTTCCAACTGTAAGGCTAGCCCTATAGATTTTGAAACGCAAATTTCCCTCCTTAGATAAACCCCTCCGAATATAAGCCCCTCCAGGAGCCCATCATTTGATGGGCTCCTGGCCCCTCCAAAAATAAGCCCCTCAAAAAGGGCCTTTGAAAAAAATTAGCCCCGGGGCTTATTTTCGGAATTTTACGGTATTTAAAATCTCACTATTTGAGCTGATCTTCACGGACTTCTGGGTCCCGATAAATCTCTTAACTGTAAAAACCGAGCTCCGATTTTGCTTTAAAATCCCGAATCCCGAGCTTCAAATAAGGGAAATCCCGGATCCCGAGGGTTATTTTTGGCATCCCGCCTCCAGCGCATACTTTCAATCCCGTAATCCCAAGGGTTATTTTTGGCATCCCACCTCACGGGTATACTTCCAATCCCGAATCCCGAGCTTCAAATAAGGGAAATCCCGGATCCCGAAAAAACAATTGGGGACCCTCTTTAGAGGCATTAGAAGACCTTACAACTTGCTTATATCTAAAAACGTTTCGAAGCGGTTGTGTGTGAAAGGCCAAGGCAACCTCCAAAACACGAGGGTTAATAAAAATGAGTACAAAAGTTCTTGTTTACTTAAACTCGTGAAAGGGTTCGGTTCCTTCTGTGTAGGTACCGAGGCACAGATTACGCACAACAAAAGAAACAATACAGCCAAACAATAAAGCCCTCAGGAGAACTCTACCCTTCTGGCAACTAGTTCTGGTAAAAGCATACAAGGCGTCATCCTCGTTGGCGGCAGTACTGTTGTTTCCGACTCTAGGTGTGTAGCCGAAGTGTTAAGTGATTACTTTGCCAATAACATTCAGGTAGAGCATAGATCTGACAATGACTACACTGACCATCCTAGTATTAAGGCATTAAGCAACAGACGTTTCTCAAGCGAGTTTAATTACTCCCTAGTTAGTACTTCATATGTCCGTAACCTTTTGGACTACCTTGAATGCGAGAAAGACAGTTGGGGTATACGTCATTTCACCACGACTCTTGCGTTTGGGATCCTCAGTTCCTGCCGAAGGGGTGACTAATTTGATCACTTTGTGTATACTTAATCGCTCTTTGCCGTCTGGAAGCAAGACCGCCTCACTCCTGTCTTAAAACGGGGGATTGACACAGACAAAGCAAACTACCGCCATGTCTCAATATAAGGGAGCTTTAGCAATGACGACGGCGACAGCAGAGAGAACGTCACAAAAGCAAAAGGTTTGATTAGCAAAACAACAACTTTGCACATGCATCACGCTTTTTTGTACATTTCTTTGCGGTCACTGCAAGACTACGGCGTGAAAATCCCTAATTTCACCTTTTATGGAGGACGTACTATGACAAGCGACATCGATTTTTTTTTTCTCTTTCAAAACTTGAGTGTGGTCCCCAAGAAATTAACTCCAGGCAAATTCTCCTACATTTGACATTTTCAGGAAATTGGAATAAGCGCGACAAAGTTTGAAAAGGCGCGAATTCATTTTGAAAGTGACGTTTTCGCTGCCGTCGCCGTCGTCGTTGCTAAAGCTTTCTATTAACGTCGCTATCTAAGGTGTTTGAGAATTAAAAAGTTATTTATGACCAAACTTGGAATGCATTTCATAACGTTTTGTCCCCTAACTTATCTGTATTTATGAAAACCCATTCTTGCTGCACTGCACTGCTAAAAATGACTGAAGATTGGAGGAACATTATTGATAAGAGGGAAGTTGTAGCGTCGCTCGCTGTAGACTTGAGCAAAGCGTTTGATGCCAAAAACCACCGCCTTCTGCCCGCGAAATTGAAGATCTATCATGGCGGGTCTCTCCACATGCCTTGGAAATCATGTCCACTTACCTGCTGGGTCGTCAGTAATGTGTCAGATTAGAAGGCGTATGCTCTAACTTCAAAACAGTCAAAACTGTCGTTCCTTAAGGTTCACTATTAGGGGCGCTGCTGTTCAACATTTTCATTAATGACTCATGGGCTATTGACTCAGAGCCCATTCGGGCTCGAGGAATAATTGTTAAATATCCAATTTCTTGAAAACGAACCCAGCGAAATTTGCAGCCATCTGAGTGAAAATTGTCAAAAGGCAGGTTTTTTGCGCCCTATAAGATCGAAAATCACACTAGCGAAGGAAAAGGACAGCAGAAAAGAAATAGCGAGGAAATGTGAAAACGCTCTTGATATCTATCTATCTCTCTCAGGAAAAATGTTTTGAAAAACTGGTGAATATGACTATTAGAGCACCAACAGAAATTGTTTTTTTTGTCGTTGTTTTCAGGAGCTTCATTTCAGTTCAACCAAACAAAAATCACGTTGGACGAAGGTCTAGGTTTTAATGCAAGACTGATTTTTTACGTCGTTAAATATGGAGATATCGACCTTGGTGTTGAAATCAGGTGAGAAAACAATGGTCATTGAACAGCTAACCTTGTGGTAACCTGTGACGCAGTACCGAAATCCCCAAAGGACTCAACGAAATAACAGAAATGTGTTTCGAATTTCTTTTCTAGAACAAGGATTTCGGCGCCAGGCGCAGGCTAACCTAGATGAAGTTTCCTATACTTGATCTCGTGGTTGAATTTTAGAAATCACCACAAACCGAAAAACCACAAGTTAACGGCCTACTTTTTGCTGAAAACTTATCAATAATATTTACAGAATTATTTATATGCTGATACGGTGTTCATGAGCGGATTTAAAGGCTGGCGAGGACCGCGGCCACCCCTTTTTCTATGAATTTTTTTTATTATTTTGAAAGAATTCTCAGTTGCCGCCCCTTTCTGAATTAATCTAGGCCCGCCCCTGGTGTTAACATCATCATCATGATTGTCATCACCATAATCATCATGTACATTTCCCAACTCAAAGTAATGATAGCTGCAACCAGTTGCAAAAAAGTTGAGACAATCGGACGAAAAGCAGACCTTTCTTACTTCAAATAGCTCACCTTTCTCCTTCCCTCCATTCAAAGTTGTTCCTCCAAGTTTTGAGCATAGTCTTGTATTGCTAACAACTTTGATAAGGGGAGGAGGGGGATAACAAGCACAAGATCACGGGTAGGACAGTCAAGCCAAGGTACAGTGTCTCAAGTATTTCTGCAAGTGGTTGTAGCAACATTTTGAGGCAAAATTTGATGCTGATCACCCTCAGGGCTTAAAGGGTTAAAGCGTCATTTTTTGGAGGGAAATGTATGTGAAGATTAACTGTTCGTTCACCTGAAATAATCAAGTCATACAGGGCTATAAAAGTTGCTCACGACGTCCGAGCTCACTTTTAACATGTAATATATATTGTAAAGAGGGCACGCCTGTTGTCCTCTGATCCACGACTCCTTCGTTCCTTCACTTCCTATTACTGACATTTAAATTGAAAATTAAACAAGACTTACCTGTTTGTTGAAGTTTGATGATAATTCTACTAAATCATTAGTAGTACAGTAGGGTTAACATGAGATGCGCACGCACCGCCGCAGGTCAGTCTTAAAAGAATTTTGTGATCACTAAACCACAGCCGAAACGACGTCAGGGGTGGGTGTAAACATATGGGTGCTATGAGCATGTTAATCCTACTGTACTACTAATTATTTGGCAGAATTATCATCAAACTTCAACTTACAGGTAAGTCTTGTTTAATTTTCAGTTCTACCAAATCATTACGTACATCCAGGTTACCATGAGACTTTAACGCAGTGAGAACAAAATGAGAAACACGCAAACAACTTCACACGCCGACTTTAATTGTACACTACTTTGCAATACAATTTTGTTGTACAAGGCATTAATCTAAGTGAGAACTGCCATTAACTCAGCTGGTTTGTTACAGCAAGTGGCTTGTTGTAAAACTTCCGAAAAGTGGACTCCTCAGTCTAACCAGCTGTAGCTAGAATCACATCAGTGGAAACTGACATAAGAGATTTACTCAGTTTACTCGTCGAAGCACACCTAGTGCTATGACCAGAAAATATTTCTGTATCAACCCCTGCTTGTCCCAACAAAGTTTTGATCCAGCCCCCAATAGTAGACAAGGCTACTGCCTTATAGGGCTTAATGTACGAAACAAGCAATTTTGAAAAATTCCTGAGCTTTTCAGTAGCCTGTAGGTAATAATCTAATGTTTCATAAACACACAGTTCCCTTACTGGATACTGTACTTGTAACGGCGTACATTGCCAAACACCTTGCCAGGTTTGTCCTGCCTAAGGTGTTCAGTTAAGGCAAAATTAAAACGTGTATCATTCTTCTGCATATATTGCTCAGATATGTCCAAAAAGGTCAAAGTCTGACACCTCTGCGCCGCAGTCAAGGCAATCAACATGACTAATTTCAGGGTGAGTTCCTTCAAATTGATCTCGTGCAGAGGCCAAAACAAACTCAGGTAATCAAGGACAGTATCCACGGACCAGATATTGTTATACTTCGGCACAGGCTTGAGCTTGTTGAACACCCCTTTAAGGTAACGGCAAACAAGGAAATGCTTCCCTATAGGTGTGTGAGACGAAGCATCAATATCACTCATATCAATGTTAGAGACCGCAGACCGAGCTGTATTCAACGCGGAATAGCTCAAGCCACTCTTGAAAAGACTGTGCAGAAAAAAGAGTACAGCTGTTACAGTGGGATGCAACGGATCATTCTTTCTTTCACTGCAAAATTGTATGGTCGGCCATTTGTTTCAAAATTATGACGATATACGTCTGATCTCAGAAAAAAATTAAATGGACTGCATCAGGCTATCAGCGGTTAGAGAATGATCTTGACTCACGCAGAGCATAATTCTCTTTACTTGGCCAGGGCGGGGGGGGGGGGGGGGGGGGGT